GATTCAGAGGTGGAACAGAAGCTGAAAATATGCGTTAAGGAATAGAAGGAAATGGGGGGCCCCTGGGTGGCTCAGTGGGTTAAAGCCTCTGCCTTCCGCTCAGGTCATGATCCCAGGGTCCTGGGATTGAGCCCTGCATCAGGCTCTCTACTCAGCGGGGAGCCTGCTTCCTCCTCTCTCTCTGCCTGCCTCTCTGCCTGCTTGTGATCTCTGTCAAATAAAAAAATAAAATAAAATAAATTAAAAAAAAAAGAATAGAAGGAAATGGGATACCTGCCTGGCTCAGTTGGTGGAGCACATGATTCTTAGTCTTTGGGTTGTAAGTTCGAGCCCCATGTTGGGTATGGAGATTACTTAAAAATAAAATCTTAAAAAAAAAAAAAAGAATAGAAGGAAATGCACAGTCTCAAATCCTTGTATTAGGAAAGAAGGAAGCCTGACCACGGTCGCCAAACTGTGGAAAGAACCAAGATGCCCTTCAACGGACGAATGGATAAGGAAGATGTGGTCCATATACACTATGGAGTATTATGGCTCCATCAGAAAGGATGAATACCCAACTTTTGTAGCAACATGGACGGGACTGGAAGAGATTATGCTGAGTGAAATAAGTCAAGCAGAGAGAGTCAATTATCATATGGTTTCACTTATTTGTGGAGCATAACAAATAGCATGGAGGACAAGGGGAGATGGAGAGGAGAAGGGAGTTGAGGGAAGTTGGAAGGGGAGGTGAACCATGAGAGACTATGGACTCTGAAAAACAATCTGAGGGTTCTGAAGGGGCGGGGGGTGGGAGGTTGGGGGAACCAGGTGGTGGGTACTAGAGAGGGCACGGATTGCATGGAGCACTGGGTGTAGTGCAAAAACAATGAATGCTGTTACACTGAAAAGAAATAAAAAAAAAAAAAAAAAAAGAAGGAAGCCTGAAAAGTAATCATGGTAAGCATCCATCTCAAAAACTTGGAAAAGAATAGCAAAGTAAGTCCAAAGTAAGAATAGAAAGGAAATATTAAATACAAGTTCAAATATAATACATATAATAGATGGGATTAATAAAGCAAAAAAAAAAAAGGCAAAATAAGCAGATGAAATCGTTGTCTCTATATGAAACTTCAAAGAATATACACAGGACGAATTACGGGATTAATTAAACATCTCAGCAAGGCTGCTGGGTATATGATCAGTATGACGAAATGAATTTTAGTTCTACATTTTAACCAAAAATTATAAAAATTTAGTTTTTAAAAACATAACTCTCAAAACAACAACAACAAAAAATAAGTCTATGTATAACTTTAAAGAAAGATCTACATTTACATTAAAAATTGTAAAACCTAGGGCGCCTGGGTGGGTCTGTGGGTTAAGCCTCTGCCTTCAGCTCAGTCATGATCTCAGGGTCATAGGATCAAGCCCCTCATCAGGCTCTCTGCTCCGCAGGGAGCCTGCTTCCCCCTCTCCCTCTGCCTGCCTCTCTGCCTATTTGTGATTTCTCTCTCTGTGTGTCAAATAAATAAGTAAAAAATCTTAAAAAAAATTGTAAGACCTAGCAATAGGTAGTAATAAAGATGTATTAATAAATAAGTAAAAGAAGACACCACACTAAGAGATTGTAAAAGATGCCAACTGTGAAAGATGTCAATTCTCTCTAAATTAATGAATATATTAATACATGTATTTTACTGAATATATAAATTCTATGCAACTACAACAAAATCCTGACAGGAGACTTTCCGAAATCCGACAAGCTGATTGTAAAAGCCCACTGGGCTAAAGCTACAAACACAAGAATAAGATGGGAGGACTTGCCCTACCAGACACAAAGACTTACTATAAAGCTATAGGAAATTAAAACTGTGATATTTGTGCAGGCATAAACAGTTACAGCAGTGGAATAAAACAGAGTTCAGACACTGATCCAGGCATATATTGAAATTCAAAATACGAGAGGTGGCAAGGTAAATTGGGGAAAATGATGAATTATTCATTGAATGGGGTCAAGTCTGATGGTGATGCATTTAGAAATCTATAAAAATAGATTCATATCTCTCAACACTCACAAAATCAATTCCAGACAGAACAAAGACCTAAGGTGTAAAAAGCAAAAATTTTTTTTAATTTAAAGAAGAAAATCTAAATAATTTTATGATCTTGACAGAGGGAAGGACTTCTTAAATCAGACAGACACATATACAGACAACACAAAAAAAGTTTGACAAATCCAAACACATTAAAAATGAAATTATTATGAAAGGCCATTAAAACACTGGGTAAATTTCATAACACTTTTGAAATGAAAGTAATGGGAAACAGATCAGAGATTGCCAGAGGTTAAGGGTGGAGGGAGGGTAACATGAAGGGGTTTCTTTGTAGTGGTGGAACATCCTGTATCCTTACTGCGGATGTATCCTACATCATTCTATGTAGGTGACAAAATTTCACAGTACTATACAACAACCACAAAAGAGTACATGTAAGAACTGATAAAATCTGAGTCTGCTATAAGTCTGTAGTGATTTAATAGTATTGTTACCAATGTCAACTTCCTGGTTTTGAAATTGAAGAAAGCTGGGTAAAAAACAGATGGGAACTTGGGGCACCTGGGTGGCTCAGTGTCTTAAAGCCTCTGCCTTCAGCTCAGGTCATGATCTCAGGGTCCTGGGATCAAGCCCTGCATCAGGCTCTCTGCTCATTGAGGAGCCTACTTCCCGCCCCCTCTCTCTGCCTGCCTATCTGCCTACTTGTGATTTCTGTCTGTAAATAAATAAATAAAATCTTAAAAAAAAAAAAAAAAGAATAGATGGGAACTTGCTGTATTATCTTTACAAACTGAGACTTAAATTATTTCGAAATTAAACAACTTTTTATTTATTTTTTTAAAAGATTTTATTTATTTATTTACTTACTTGAGAGATGGTGACAGAGATAGCACGAGAGCAAGAGCAGAGAGGAGAGGGAGAAGCAGGCAGGAGCCCAACATGGGGCTCAATCCCAGAACCCTGGGATCATGACCTGAGCCAAAGGCAGACACTTAACCAACTGAGCCAACCAGGAGCCCCTAAACAGCTTTTTATAAAGTAGGTAGGCAGTCCACAGATTGGAGGAAGATGGACATAATCCATTCAGCAGACAAAAAAGTCATTTCCAGGATTTAAATTCTTCTACAAATGAACAAGAAAAAGAAAAGCAGGCAAAAGATTTGAACAGAGAATTCGCAGGAGAGGAAACACCAATGCTAATCAACCTAAGAACATATGAAAAGATGCTCAAACTCAATGCTAATCAAATTAAAACTAGTGTGAGAGGCCATTTCATACCCAAAGGAGAGTCAGAAACATAAGTCTCTGTTATGGCAGCTTTGCAAACTAATGAAACAACTGTTGAGAGCAATTTGGCATTTACCTAGGCAGGAGGAATGACTGCACAGTCTTTGACTCAGCTACTCTACTCCTAGGCATCTATCTTAGAGAAATGTGCTTACATACCCAAGGACACATGTATTAGAACGTATATAGGTGCAATTTTTTTAAAGATTTTATTTATTTGAGAGAAAGAATGCACACAAGCAAGGAGAGGGGCAAAAGGAGAGGGAGAAGCAGACTCCAGGCTGAGCAGGGAACCCGAGGTAGGGTTCCATCCCAGGACCCTGGGATCATGACCTGAGTCGAAGGCAGACACTTAACCAACCAAGCCAACCAGGTACCCCGATAGCTGCATTCTTTAATAGCCAATATTGGTAAAAACATAGATGTCCAACAAAATAATGTGGATAAATGAATTGTGTTATAATTATGCATATAATACTATATAGTAGTGAAAATGAATGAACCAGAACAACATATATCAACATGGGTTCATCTCACAAACTCAGTGTCAGCAGAGGGAGCAAACTATAGGAGGATATACATAGTATGATGACATTAATGAAAAATTTAAAAATATGTCAAACAGGGGTGCCTGGGTGGCTCAGTGGGTTCTGCGTTCAGCTCAGGTCATGATCGCGGGGTCCTGGGATCGAGCCCCGCATCGGGCTCTCTGCTCGGCAGGGAGACTGCTTCCCCTCTCTCTCTCTATTCTGCCTCTCTGCCTACTTGTGATCTCTCTCTGTGTCAAATAAATAAATAAAATCTTTAAAGAAAAATTAAAAAATAAAAATATGTCAAACAACACTGTAGATGGTTGAGGGATTCACACATATGCAAGAAAGCAAAAGACCATGCATAAGATTTATAACCCCTAATTTTGAAAAAACAGCTCCCTTTGGGCAGGGGTGTGGGGAGGTAGGGAAATAGGAACTTCAACTACTTAGGTAATGCCTTATTTCTTAAGCTGGGATGTTGACTCATGAGCATATTTTTTTATTATTATTCATAGCTTACTGTAATCATAACTACTAACACTTTTTTTAAATTATGGGAATTGGAAAGGTAGAAATAATCAATTACATTTCACCTACAGGAAACTAGAAAGTATCTAAAGGGTGGCAGACTTAAGGTCCACAGGATAGATGTAGTTTTTAAGATCAAGAGAAGAGGGGCACCTGAGTGGCTCAGTGGGTTTAAGCCTCTGCCTTCAGCTCGGGTCATTATCTCAGGGTCCTGGGATCGAGCCCGCCATCAGGCTCTCTGCTCAGCAGGGGCCTGCTTCCCGCCCCCCTACCTGCCTCTCTATGTACTTGTGATCTCTTTTGTCTGTCAAATAAATAAATAATATTTAAAAAAAAATCAAGAGAAGAGAAAGAAGCCCATGAATGAGGAAAGACTGAACATGATGAAGAAGGCAAGCCAGGTAAAGAAGGGAGGTTTCCTGGTGGAGGAAAGAGACAAGGAAACCAAGAAAACCCCTCCCTCAACTGAAAATGATATTCTAGAAGGTCATGCCAGGCAGACTTACCAATGATCTAGGAGACCTGAGAAGAGCTTCTTCCCTGTACCTGAGAGATGCCTCCTCCTTCTCTATCTTCCAAGCTGCGAACGGTCCTATCTACCCTGCATCACACTCACCTGGACAGAGGCCCAGTGGATGTTGTCTCTCCTCTATCCAGGGCTCTTCCCCTTGCTCCAGCTGAGAAATGAGTTTTGGTTTGGAAAACGGAACGTCTGCTCATGGGGAAAAAAACAAAAACAAAACAAACAAGCAAAAACCAAGGAGATTCTTGGTCATGGGCTCAAGGGGCCATTTCGTACGTTAGAGCCAAAATGCGTAGGGAAACCCAAAGGGTAGTACAAAGGGGCTGTAACTGTGAACTCTCTTCAGAAGAGCTGAGTAAGTAAACGTGCTTCTGGTCAGAAAAACAGCATATTAACATGTGGTGAAGGAAAATCACCTAGGTTTCAAATAAGAAAAGCAAAAAGAGAGCCCCAGCCTTGAGAAAGAGGCATGGAAATGCGGTGTTAGAGGCATCATGAGTAAATCTCCCTGTTTTCAATTCCACTAAATCCAGATTTCCCCTGAGGGAGGGGGATTACTGTTCCTAAGCCCAACGCTAGGACAAAGCTGCTTCATAGGTAGCCTTTCCTTGTGATGTGCAGAAAATACTCTGTGGGGGAAGATTTTAAGTGGTAAGGGAAGCCATCCTTACCTAGTGAGACCAGGTGGCTGTAGGTCTCCAGCATCACTTCCCGGTGCAGGGTCCTCTGAGCTGGGCTCAGCAACCGCCACTCCTCCTGGCTAAAGTCCACAGCCACATCCCTGAATGCCACGAATGCCTTTAACACAAAACACACCGCTGTTCATCCAGGAGTTCACCTTGCTCAGGATGAAGAATCAAAAGGCTTCCCTGTGGGAGGTAGAGATTTCTAAGCCCTACTTTGGGTTATGAATGAAAGGTATCAGAATATGCCATTCCAAATTATGCCAAAATCATCATCATCATCATCATCATCATCATCCATTTTGGATTATTTTGGGCTGAAGGCATTGAGAAGAAGCAGACACAAGAAAAGCTCTCTGCCCTCCCCCTACCTACCTAAAAGCAGAATATAAATTTGTGAAAGTATCTTCCCGCTCTACCGGGAAGAGTAGAAGTTAATCTCTGGAAACAACTCTACACCCTTATCAGCCAGCAGATGGCACTGAGGGAATCCACACAACAAACCTTACTAACTAACTACCCCTTATCTTTGACCACTATTTGCCATCCTCACTCAAAATCCTTTTCCTTTGTCTTCTCACTTCTCTAAAAAGTTCTTGTTCTTTTGTTAAGATGTTATACGAGCCCAAGTTCTTTTTTTTTTAAGATTTTCTTTATTGGGGTGCCTGGGTGGCTCAGTGGGTTAAAGCCTCTGCCTTCGGCTCAGGTCATGATCTCGGGGTCCTGGGATCGAGCCCCGCATCGGGCTCTCTGCTCAGCAGGGAGCCTGCTTCCCTCTCTCCCTCTGCCTGCCTCTCTGCCTACTTGTAATCTCTGTCTGTTAAATAAGTAAATAAAATCTTTAAAAAAAAAAAAAAAAAAGATTTTCTTTATTTATTCGTTTATTTATTTATTTGTCAGAGAGCAAGAGAGAGAGAGCACAAGCAGGCAGTGGCAGAGAGAGAAGCAGGCTCCCAGAAACAGGCGGAGAGAGAAGCAAGGAGCCCATTGCGGGACTCGATCCCAGGACCCTGGGATCATGACCTGAGCTGAAGGCAGTGGCTTAACCAACTGAGCCACCCAGGCATCCCATGAGCCCAAGTTCTAACCACCCCTTTAAGTTACTCATCACTGAGTGCTCCCATGTGTATCTATGATGTATGTTAATAACCTTCTGTTTGTTTTTCTCTTGTCGATCTGTCTTTTGTTGGTCTAATTTATAGGGTGCCAGCCAACGAACACAAAATAGGTTGAGGAAAAATTATTTTCTTTTCCTTCCCCTACATGGCCTTAGGGCCAAGGGTTCAAACACCATTATTCTGCTTTCTCTATCCAGCCAGCTTCATTTATGCACCTACTATTGTCAACATTCTAGGCTAGCTGCTACCGGGGATGAAAGCAAAACACAAGTCCCTTCACATTAGGAGCTTTAAATCTAGGCAGGGAGAAGAGGAAGACATCACACACAGTTAAACAGTAAAAAATAATTATCTTACTGAGCTTGAAGAATATCAGAGACTACTTGGTCTAAGCATTTATGCTCTACTTACCTGAGGCAGCTGAGTCTCTTGGGGGTGAGGACCCACCAATATGTATATTTCGTAGCAGGACCCATTCCTCCCCCTTGCTCATACTCCCACTGCCTTGATCCCACCTGAAGAGTGCAAGTGCATGGGTGGGAAGACTATGGACTCAAATCACACTGTCCCCAAGTAGAGTGCCCATCAGCAAATTTAGTCAACCTCTCAGCACTTACCAAGAAAAAACAGTGCTTATCTCACAGAATTGTGCTGAGGATCAGAGAAGTTGATAAATGTAAGGACTCAAAACAAAGGACTGTTGCACACAGTTAAACACTCAGGGAGGATTTCCCTAGCTGTTCCATGAAAATTTTCTCTTCAGGTTCTTATTCCCCTCTGCTGCTTTAATGTACCCCCTTAATTCTAGATAATGTGTTACTCATTTTTATTTTCTGACTGCCTATCAGACTCTAAGTTCCATATGCATTGTTCACTATTATTGTCCTAGTACCCAAAGCAGAGCCTACAAACACCAAGCAGTCAAATATTTTTAGATGACTGAATGGGCATTTATTATTATTATTCCCCTAACAAAATTTCAAATGCCCTTCTGCTACCTAGAAGACTTTACTTTGGAGGGTGGGAATATATAATGGTCCTTGGCATGAAGGTTTTGGTGAGGTGTCTTGGCATGGAGGTGTACAGAACCCAAGCCCCAAGGAGTCTAGGGATCTAGTTCTGGGATTTTTCCTAGCTCATTAGTTTTTCTGTCTTTCAAAAGAGAGCATAATCTGGGGCTCCTGGGTGGCTCAATCAGTTGTGTCCATATCTTGGCTCTGGCTTAGGTCATGATCTCAGGGTTGTGAGATCAAGCCCCACATCAGGCTCCGTGCTTGGTGGGGAGTCTACTTGGGATTCTCTCTCTCCCTCTGCCCCTCTCCCTGCTTGCATACACCCTCTCTCCCTCTCTCTAAAATAAATAAATCTTTTTTAAAAAAAGATTTTAAAAGAGGTCACAATCTGCAGTCCAGATAGGGTTACTTTGAGCCATACAAAGCATTTTCCTTATATCACTTATATGTTGGATGATTTCATATGAAAACATCAACTCATGAGCTCTGTTGAAAAAAGTCCATGAATCTGACTACTCACTCTGGGCTTTGCGTTGCTGCAGGGCCACAGATGGCTGAAGGTGACTCACACTAGGGGTCCATTACTCCACCCATGTTATTGGCAGATTGCTGCAACTCCTACCTTACCTGTTTCATTCAGCTACCTGCCTGGTCCCTTTGGTGATTTAATTTTGCATCCCTCTCAGAACACCATTCCTCCTTGAGGGATGACTCTGTCTCCGAAACTAATTCCATGCTGTGCCCTCTCAGGGGACCCTCCCCTAAATTTCCTGTTCACTATCAGCACAAGTGTTCTGCACTGGCTGTGGAATGGTCTTAAAACAGGACCCCACCTTGCATCCTCCCACCGCCTATAGTAAGAGCAATCCCAGAAGCCAGCCTTCATCAAAGTAATTAATTATAAATAAAGAACAGCCAGGATGAGTGAGTGCTATGGTTCTCACCCCTCATGTCTAGCTGTACTTTAGAACTAACTGTGGTGTTTTAAACTATGGACTCCTGGGTCTCTCCACAAATGGATAAAATCAGACTCTCTGGGGATAGGGCTTTTATACTTTTAAAGGCTCCTAAGTAGAGTCATAGTTTAGAATCAGCAGGCCACAGGAACCTCAAGAGGGAGAGGTCAGTGGAGGATAGAGAGATCACAGCAGGTTTTATAAGAAGAAGGTGTGATCTTAGCTGTAAAGGGCAGGCAGGATTTTTGAAGGATCAAGAAGAAAGAACAGGGATGGGCCCTTACGACACAGGGGATGGGAGGAAATAAGGAATGAAAAGTGGCTAGCTGGAAAAGAGAGCAGGCGGGTAATGGCAGACTACAGAGGGTCTGAAAGGCCAAAGGAATATAAAATCCTATCCTCTACTGTGCACTGAAGGTAATACTTGAGTAATATACTTGATGAGTACACACGAGTGTACATGGTGAGTAGATGAGTGTACAAGTGGATAGCACGTGTAGCAAAATAGTCATTGTGGAATCTAGGTGGTGGCTATGTGAGTCCATGTTAAAGTCTTTATATTTTTTCTGTAGGTTTGAAACTTTTCATAATTAAATATTGAAGAGAAAAGACTATTCATTCATTCAGATATCTGCCTAGTCCCTGTGGTGATTTGATTTTAAAGCCCCTCTTCGAATGAATACACACACTTTATGTGCACGCATAGGTAACTAGAAAATCTCTAACAAAGAAGCAACACTGCAGACCAACCTACATTCTTTCAACAAGTTTAACACAACTGGTATTTGCACAGCCCTGGAAAAACTCATGGTATCTTTGGCAGAGAAACACACACGTAGTGGGTATGGAAACCCTAAATGGATGACTCTCCCGGACCTATTCCAAACCTCTCTCACTGAGGAGCAACTCAGCTAGCAGCTGGGGGCGCTAAAGCTGACTCAAGGGGAGGCCCGACTGGCATAAAAGTAACCTAGCCCTTTGTCAACTGAAGAATGGATTGGTGGCCAACTGGAACCAACAAGACACAGTAGACCGCTGCTGGATCCTAGCAGAAGACGTCTACATTTTTAAGATGGAGTAATGCGGAGGGGCGCCTGGGTGGCTCAGGGGGTTAAGCCTCTGCCTTTGGCTCAGGTCATGATGTCAGGGTCCGGGGATCGAGCCCTGCATCGGGCTTTCTGCTCAGCAGGTAGCCTGCTTCCTCCTCTCCCTGCCTACTTGTGATCTCTCTGTCAAATAAATGAATAAAATCTTTAAAGAAAAAAAGATGGAATAATACGGAGCCAGTACTTTTCCTGATGCTCATAAACGTGGACACAAATGACCCAACAGAGGCAGCGGAGTTCAGTGCACTGGCCTTAAGTGTGGTCCCTAAACCTATGGCACCAGCATCTCTTAGGAACTTGTTAGAAATACAAATTCTCAGGCCCCATCCCAGAAACACTGAATCAGAATTCTAGCATGTGGGGCCCAGCAACCTGTTTTAACAAGGCTTCTCGGCGATTCTGATTCACAGAAAAGTCTAAGAAATACTCAGTGGCTGGGACACCTGGGTGGCTCAGTGGGTTAAAGCCTCTGCCTTCAGCTCAGGTCATGATCCCTGGGTCCTGGGATCGAGCTCCGCATCGGGCTCTCTGCTCAGCGGGGAGCCTGCTTCCCTTCCTCTCTCTCTGCCTACTTGGGGTCTCTGTCTGTCAGATAAATACATAAAAAATCTTAAAAAAAAAAAAGAAAAAGAAATACTCAGTGACTAAAAGCACACTCTGGAGACAGACTGTGTTCAAATGACAGCTCTCTTTCTCCCACCACTTTGCACCAGTAACTTGACATTTCCGTGTCTCAATTTTCTGAAAATGGGTATTATAATGACTTACCTTTTAGGATTGTTATGCAACTTAAAGTTGCCAATAATAAACATCCTACGACTGTGAGGGGAATTAGTGTGATGAGGCTGACACTGTGAACAGGGTAGAGTGGAAGAATGAAAGAACTCCAGTCCTTGATAAGCTTATGAAGGGAGAAGAAAAA